CCTAATTGCTACCACAGAAGAATGGTGGGACAAGTCACACAGATGGTGTATATGACTGAGAGCCATAAGCATTTCAGTAGAGATAGAATAGGGAGGAGGGATGTGGAGTTACCCTCTATGATTAAGAAACAGACAGATTGTGAATAGCTGCCTCTGAGAAAAGCCACCACCAGCTTGAGAGCTTGTGAGCTAAAATTAGGGACCAGAACAATAAAAGACATCTGGTGATCAGCAACACAGTAAACTGTTAGCAATCCAGGAGGTCCTGGATTAGAGTGCTGGAGCACCTCCCCCATGGAGAGAGGCTGCATGAGCTGGGTTTGTTCATCCTGGAGAAGAGAAGGCTCAGGGGAGACGTTACTGCACTCTACAACTTCCTAAGGGGAGGTTGTTATGAGAAGGGCTTTCTGAGTATTACAATCCAGAATGAAGCAGAACAAGTAATAATATGGAAGTTCTGCATAATTTTATTGTACTCCAATGGGGGGAAAAAAAAAGTCTACTCTGTAAGTATTTATAGTGAAAAAGAAAACTCTTATAAGTTTTCCAGGTAAAATTCTAATAGGGTATTGTTCCATCTAAATGTAGTATTTTTCCCAATGTTTCCATATCAGGTACATCTAGCAGAGACTTAAAACATCCCACTGAATTCCAGCACTGAAAAAAACAGGATATTTGATTTTGCATAAAATTCAAGTACCTCAAAGGTTTATTTCAAGCATAATGAAGTGCCATAATTGATAAATTGATTTTGTACAACATCGCTTTTGCTCAATGCCTACTGTTAATAGTTATGGGAAAGGTTCAGACCCAGATTTCAGCTCTGCAATAGCTTAATTATAATGAGTACATAACCAATTTCTCTACGCATCCATTTAAGAAGAAAAAAAAAAATTCCATTAGTCTCCTCTAACCATCTGCTGTATTTTCAAATACTCATGCAAACACCTACAGCAAAGAAAAGACAAGGAGATAGAAACACTGACCTTTTTGTAATAGAAAGTTATTCTTTCTTTCAAAAGTGATTTAAAAGCTGGTAGTTATTTACAACTACTTATGCATTCATATTGAAAACACATTATGTGTATTCACATACATGCATTTACTTATGCAAATAAAATGATTAATGTATTATTAATTTCCCAAATATTTTAAGTTGCTCTGTTGCACTAGCACACAAGGGAAAATACTTGACTTAATGTGCTTTAAAACATTTTTATAAGCTCTCTGACACACATCTTTATTGAGGGTTAGTCTTAAATACAAGACCAGACAATGTGGTTGCAGCATTCATACAGCAGGTAAACTAGCTTCAGCTCAGATGTACGAGCTTAAGCATGTTACCTGTCCTTACAGACACAGCTGGCCACAGCATGGCATATGGTCTGTTGCAACCACTGAGGTTTTTAATTATTGCTTATATGGGCAGAGAGAGCTTTTCAAAGCTACTTCCAGCTGAGAGTCTGCTGCCTCTTACAGCCGTGACAGACGATGTGCAACATGCAGGCAAGCACAGACCCAGACCAAGTGGTATGCATGCAACACCCTCAGCTGTAATTGTGCTGCAAGCATTGCAGACATATAGGTACAGTAATTTTTCTGCTGGTTAGCAATAAAAAAACCTTCTGAGACAGAAGAGATAGACGCCACATAGGTCTAAAGAAGGCTTCTGTGCATCTTAGAACAGTAAAACAAAAGAGGCGCCCTGGGATATACTCTGCAAATGAGCCAAACTGTTGGGACACCAAGCCAGAGTGATGTGTACCAAGCTCTGTATCAGCTATCCTGTAAATTACAAGCAACTTTAATCTTAGCCCCTTAACTAACTTCTTAAAGCACAGTGCTTTCTCTTCTTTCTGCCCTTTTTAATTCCCTGCCATCTGTCCCCAACTACAAAAGCAGCAGCACTCAGGACATGAACTGCTAGGAGTTGGGATGGACTGTCACAGGGGACACAAGGAACAAACTCATTAGCTGCAGGTACATGGAACCTCCTAACGCACATGTTTTACAGCAGGCAGATGAGAACACAGCTTGCTTTTTTTGCACTTGAACAGAATAATTTGAGAAGGGCATGGGTGAGACACAGGATATTTGGATTATTATTGCTAGCAGGACATTGAGCTGGAAAAGAAGCATTTGGGGGATGATGCTCATTGGAACAGGTTGCCCAAGGAGGCTGTGGATGCCCCATCCCTGCAGGCATTCAAGGCCAGGCTGGATGTGGCTCTGGGCAGCCTGGGCTGCTGGTTGGTGACCTGCACACAGCAGGGGGTTGGGACTGGATGAGCGCTGTGCTCCTTTGCAACCCAGGCCATGCTGTGATTCTACAACCGAGCATAGGAAGATGTGCATGATGGTGGATAGCAAATAGGAGCAACAACTTCTGCAGAAAGACAGGAGAGCTCTGAAACTGAAAAGCTTGAAAGACACTGCTGCAGAAATCAGTCTTGATGCAGACTTTAACGGAAAACAAAGAAACCCTTTTCTTGAAATGGCCCAGAAAAAGCCACATCTATTCATCAACTGAATGAAAGATTCTAAAGAGGCACAACCTAAGATTTGGTTTACATCCTTGTGATACTAGAATATGCAAACAAATTCAACTCTGTAGAGAAACAGTAGCACATGACCACAGCAAATTAGATCTTTTATAGCTTTGAAGCAGAAACAAATACATAATTTATGTACGTTTGAGTATATAGGCATAATAAACACAAACCTCAAGAGAAAAGCATGAACTGCTACCCTTTTCTAAAAGTTCAGCATTTAATTACATTTCAAAACAAGCAGGAAGGTTGTGGAAAACAATGCATCATGAACAGTCTTTTATCTAAAACTGCAGCTGAGGAGGAAATCCATGCCTAAAAATAGTTTTTCTCTGTTTTGGAGTCAGTCGAATAGTTTTGAAGAAACTTACTTGAAGAAAAATTAAACAATAAATAATTTCTTCATCATCCTGTAACACCATCTTCCAGAACCACTTATGCTTGTCCTACACACCTCTTAACTGTTTGTTTGAAAACTTTATAAGCATAAAGATTTTCTTATGTTCTTGATTTGAAAGATTTCTAGCCTTACGTATTTTTTTAATCACTGACTACTTACCGACAATGAAAATACACAGATTTAGTAATACCCACCTTTGCAGATGTTTTACATGCTCAAAAGGCTGCTATCCACAGCACAGATTCCCCTAAGCAGAACACAAGAGGCAAGCACAAGGCAAATTTCATTTTGGTAGCATTCAGAAGCACAAAGAGGACAAGAACAAAGAAACAAACATTAGAAGTAAATGCATTCCTTTTTTCATAATTGTTAGACTGCTGGTTTTGATTCATTAATCTTTTGGTAAGTGGAAAAATGAAACAGATTGACCATTGCAGAAAACAAACAAACAAACAAACAAACAAAAAACCTGCAAATTAAAATTATTCTAATGAAATTGCTTGCAAAGTGTGCTGCTTCATCAAGCGTAACTTTCATCAAGGAGTCTGGACTACAGAGTACACATTTCTTTGAAGTAATGTGCTTAGAGGGCACTCCGAATTCAAAACACCTGAAAAGAAACTTCTTAAGCACCTACTACCATTATTTTTTTCTATTGCATATGTTTTTAAAGTCAGACAAGTTCCACCAAAAAGAAAGAGGCAAGCAAAATATGGCACTTTGTGTTCAACAGATTCAAGCAAATCTGAAATTGAGCTTCTTATTAATACTCGTGTTGCATCTAAATGATCACTACATTACAGCTGTGACAAGGCATACAGAAAAATAAAATGCCTGGAGGTTTGCAGTGAATCGTTTTTCATTTCTTCAGCAACTGTTGCACAGTGATTGATCTAGTGCACTGCAACAAGGGAAACTAGCAATTAAAGGCTTCCATGAATCTAGCATTAGATCCACAGATCCTTCTTACAGGAGCAAAATCAGTGGAAAACAAGGAAACAGCAAAACAGAGAAGTAAGCTGTGCAGAATTTATTCTTTGCTGAAAAACATGAAAAATCTGAATTCTGAGATTGTATGCATAATGCAGGATTATAATTCAATTAAGACAACTATTTCTCTGATCTTACAATTCTAAGGCATTTTGCAGATGTCTGTGAAACCCAGTGTGTAGAACAAGTGTGTTCCTGTTCGCCATATATTCTCAGCTCTCATTCTGTTGAAAGATACACTTAGACTTCTCTGTACAAAAACAGACTGTGCAAGGTAGGTCAAAAGATACACTGTTGTTCTAATGGAGTTTAAAACAAGGGGCACAAAATCAACATATACAATAAATACCTATATGTTACTATGGCAGTAAGAATAAATCCTAACTGCTAATCTTGTTTCTTTTATAAATGCTCAGACCCAAAAAGCATGGGGGAAAGGGATTCCCAGCTATGTCAGCCCAGAACTAGAGGCAGTGTCACACATGCAAGCTGTACAAGTTCTGATTCCACACTAGCACAGAGATTTCTGCACTGTGCCTGCCTCTCTGCAGGAATAAACACACCCTTCCTCTGCCCTAAGAGTTCATCCACAAGATCATTCATCACTTGCGACTGTTTTGCTTCAGCTGTGTCAAAACTAATTCAGGTTTACTGATATTAGAAGCAAATAGAGCACTTACATAGAACAGGAGGGGGCAAGGTTATACAGATTTTGCTAGCACAGCCAGACAAATTAAATTGTTAACCCATGGCTACACAAAAGGTCACTTGTTAGCTTAGGGTTAACCAGAACTTCTTAGCTTATCTCTGACCTGGTTTTGACCTCTCTTGTTAATTGTAGAAGTGTTTTCAGTTCAATTGGTGAGCTGTGTTTACATCTCCCAGTTGCATAGTTTTTTTTCACTTGCTTTTGAAAAATTAGCAGCAAAATATCTTTCCTGTGTCAAAAACTAATTAGTATACAGTTATCTCCATGTTGTTACCTTGAGCGGAATAGACAGTAAAGACAAAGAGTAAGCAATTTCACCTGTTTCATTTATGAAGAATGGAATTTTAAAACCTTTATTTAACTTTTTTTTTTTTTTTTCTCTCCAGATTATAAACAATTAATTCACAAAGCTTGTAAAAATACTCAGTTCCTCTGCTTCTAGCAAGTCTTGTTAGAAGAAAGTACACAGACATCACTGGTAAAAGAGAAGAACTAGTCAAAGAGCACACAGAAACTTACTGGATTTGCAAACATGTTAGTAAGTTGTACCCAGAAATAACCATTTGTCATTGCCCCATACTTCTGAGTGGGCTGTCCATGCGGGACTTGTTTAACTCCTTTACTGTCCTAGTAGTAAGGGCGAGTTTGTAAGGGTATGGATGTGATGTATACTGCTGGTCTGAAGCATAAAATGTCCCCTTCTGCAGAAGAGAAACTTCAGTTGTAGCACCTGAGTTATAATCCAAAAAATGATTTCTCTACATTGACTTTATTGTTTTCTTTACTTTGTTGTTGTTGTTTAACCAGAAGCGTTGAGGTTCACATAAAAATTTGTGGACTTAACTTAAACAACTAAGTTTAAGAGACAAACTAAATCTGAAGGCCTAGTAAAATACACATTCATTTTCAAAAGGGACCAAATATAAATCTCATCATTGAAAAGAACTATCCAAAAAACACGACTTATGCATAGTGACCTAAATAACATAAAGAATTAATGTTTGAAAACCTTCAAAAATTAGATTCTAAAATTAAAATAACCAAAATTCCATATACTTCTAAATTCTGAAGTCTTCCCAGTCTGTTACACTGACATTCTGTTTTGTGATCAAACTTCTCCAAAAGAAATCTAACAGGTACTATTCATCCAAGAGATCACATAAATCTAAACCAAGCTCCAAATTTTCATCTTTTTTTTTTTTTTTCTAAAGGAAATTAGGGTAATCTTCAATCATCTGAACAAAAGAATAAAAGATTTTATTCTGCCCATTACTGTTCATTTTACTGGAGGTAAACACTTTTTAACTACGAAGGGCTTCCCAGTTGCTTTGTTACAGTATGCACAAATCCTTGGATTAAATTCAGATCCACATTCATTGGCTAGCTGCAAACATATCCCACTGTATGGCAGGTACAGTTTTCCTATATTTTTACATTATTTAACAAAAGTTCCATTCTTCTTAGTTTGCGCTTATTCTTTGGCATTGGCTTGTCATATAAGCCATTTTTGAGAAGATGCTCCTTGCTGTGATGGATCTGGGCTCCATGCTGAAGCTGGAAAGAGCACAAAGCTTGAAGGGGTCGTAGTATAGTCTGCAGAAAAAATGGAAGAGAGGGAGAAGGAAGAGATGAAAAAAAACCCAGTCTTTTCAATCTTCTAGTAGGCTATCTATCTTGGAAACATCATTTATCCAAGAACTACTTTAAAAAAAAGATAAACTACAATCGTTGGAGCCACAGAGAACATTTGTGAATAAGGGGAAAAAAAGCCACACATCCACCTGTCTGCTACAGTTCTTTACTCCTTTTTTACAAAGAGACTCACCTCCAGTTCCAGCCACATTCTTCAAGTTTTAACTTGACCTTAGCAACTGACTACAGTCACTGTAGTGACTCAGCCAAATTGTAATAACAATAACAGAAGAAAAATAGCAGTAAAGAAACTGCTTGTGATTGCATGAAAATAACTTAGGGCAGGGTTTTACGAAGAGGACTCATGATGAAGGTTGCTAGACTTCTGTACTGGGGACTGCACTGCATCTCTCCTTCTGTATAGGAATACTATGCAGTATTAATGAAGCAACTTAAAGCCAACTTGACTCAAATGGTTACTAACTGTCTGTTCTTCATTTTCTGGTTGTCTGGGTCTGGTTCACAACTACTATTAGGTCTGCTTCAAAAGGCTTACTAAAATGTCACCCAAATAAGAACATTATCTCTTTCATCATAGACTAGTGTGATCAAAGCTTGCAAGGAAAAGGCTAATGTCCAATTAGCTTCCTTTGACCTAGGATAAACTTTAACTTAAGCACTGTTACACCCAAATTTCTCAAATGACACCTAAGTGTAGTGAGCACAAAGACACAAGCCAGTGGGTTGCATTCCATGCCTGCAGAAGTGCAGGAGGTCAGTAGGATAGTCTTACAAAAGCATTTCTCTCCAAGCTAGCAGTAACATCTGTAGTCTACAAGCCAGCTTTTGCAAAAGAAAACTTATTTTCCATGAACTAAAACACCTAATTGTCTACCTCAAACCAGATTAGCTATTGGTTTTGAGTTACAGAACACCTTGCTGCTCTTTGACTGCAGAAGATCATAATTACCTATTTAAAAAGATCATGATTATTAGACTTCAGTAAATACTTTCAGACTAACTACTACTAACTTTAACTTCTTAAGAGTCTACCAGCAGTCATTCTCAAAGACTTTTATCAGCTCAGTAATTTTAAACTCAGATCGCACCTGAACTTAAAAGGCAGTTAAGTACCTGAATATACTAATTAAGAACAGAAACTTACTGAAGCCAATTTGCAAGTTTTCCTAACTTTTCACATCTTGGAAGTAGTTTTTCTTTTTAAAAAATACATTAAAATGTACTTCAATAATTCTGAAGAGCTTCCAACTGATAGCACCTGAAATAACACTATTCCCCCCATCAGACTACGTAGAGACTGGTGAAAATATTTGAATGAGAAATCAGATGTGAAAATTGAACAAATTCGTATTTGATCTCAAATGATGTAAACAAACTTTTACAGGTACACATGCACATGCAAACATACATAAAATGTCTTACAGGATGTATGATATAAGATAAATAGCCTGTACTGACTTTACTTAAGTTTATCTACTGTTCAAAAGAAGCAGAATAAAGTCAAATGCACAAAAGCTTCTAAATTCAGGCCTAAAATTCCAAACGTTGCCTACCTCAATACCAACGAATTAAATAATTAACATGCCTTTTTGCCTTCAAGAAAATTAAAGACCAATGTGATTATAGGTTATATAATAATTCCCAAGTTTACTAACGTTTTCTGCTGCCACAAAATGCTAATCATACTACAGAGTAAACATATCTTCAGTAACATAGGAGTATAGTATGTAAATTCAACATATTACAACAGAACATACTATAAGCTAACACTGCACATAAAATACATCTAAATGCAATATTGTTAAGAAATAGCCTCCAAAAATTTGTTATAAAAAAAAGAAATCAATCCAACACTACATTATGTAAATTAGAGTACATATTCTTGGTAAACAATCTATGATCATCTGTTTTGAAGTTTTGCAATAAGAAATGTCAAAAACACAGGAGGAGGTAACTATCACAGTGCATCCATGCACCACGTGCACATACAACATACACCACACTACAGCACAGTTCTGGACTGTCTTTAATTTCTACATGTTTTTATTCTACATTGTGGACGGTATAACATATACTTGGTGCTTTATCAAACAATTTCTTAACAAATGCATGGATTAAGAGAATCTGAGTAATTCTTTCCAAGACATTTCAAACTGCAAGGAAGTAGCATAAGACAACAGCATGCAATGAGAGAGGAAAATGAGATAGAAGGGAAGAACGAACTGGACGAAACAGAGATGCTGAGTTAAAAATATGTAAAAGCAACAAGAGAGGAATAGTGAATTAAAAAGTCAAAGCAAAAGAGGGAAGAAGGGAGATCGACTAGCAAGTACAAGAAAAACAGAACTCAAATCAAGAGAAAAACAAAACTGAAAACCGCGCAGCACAAAATGAAAGTTTGATAAAGATTATCCCTAAGACAGCACAGTGAAGACCTGCAAAAGTTGCAAAGTTGTCTCAGGAAAGCAGTAGGTAAAGCTAGAAAAGAAAAAAGAAGGGGGAAAAAAGAAAAGAAAAAAGGAACTGAGAAACTGAGTTGGGAATGTAACAATGGGAAGTTGATGTCAATGAGCAATCTTCTCCAAATACAAAATGGAGCATGACTGCAGGCAAAACTGGTCTGTACAGCAAATTCTGCATTCATCCATATTTCAGCACTAAATACTTGTTTTTTTTTACAGGCGATGATCAGACAACTATTGGTATCTTTAACATCATTAAGGCAAGATTTTTATCTGCGAGCTCTCTCCAGGAAAAGACAATCCTTAGTGGCCAAAGAGCCAATCTAATTCCATCATGGGACAAGACAAAAAATATTGTACTGCCATTTACAGTTCTGAAAACAAAACTGTCAAAGCAATCAAAACCAGTAAATCTAATTCCACCAGCAATCTGACAGCTATGTTGAACACAGCACAGGAAAACTAAATAAACTTTTCAGAGTTACAGGAGTCATAAAAATCTCAAAATACTAAACAAATAGCTGTAGAAAACTAGTTTCTACTGGTAGTCCCTTTTTAGTTTCTTTTCTCAGTTTGACAAAACTGTCAAATGCAATCTCTTACGATTTTCATTGTCAAATGCTGTATTAATAGCTAAGTAATTTTGCTACCATTCCACTATTCACAACAGAAAAACTTGTGTATTTGAAATTAGTTACATACCTCTTGTATATTCTTGTTTTTTTCCATGATAGTGAGAGCAACAGCAGCACATTCAAGCGTAGAGAGACAGCTGTTTGTTGGCTGTGTACGAATTACATATTGACTTGAAATGTTGGTTTTTAACTGCACCTGAAAAACAGCAAACTCTACTAAAATGTCAGTATATCAAATATATTTCTTAGCTTCATGCAGTTCTGCCTCCCAATAGCCAATGACCTTATAATCTGTTAAGTATACAGCCCACAAGTCACCATCTGAGACAAGAACTGCACGTTCATGATTGTACAAACATGTAAAGAAAACACAAGTGATGTCAGAGACAGATTGAAAGAAACAAATGTTGTACAGCACGCTTAAGCAGTTTTTCTTCTGCACTTTTCACAAGCAAAAAACCCAGGAAACAGATTAATTTTAGTTACCAATTTCACTTGCCATGCAAATTCTATAACAAAACAAAATGATTCACGCATTTGTTCATTGCACACTCTAACACAAAAAGGATTCTATACAGTACCCAATGGACACACATCATACTATAAAATAACTGTGTAATCACTGGCACTGTTTCCCCTGTTAAAAATTGCCATTTTCTAAAAGACTTAAGTTATACATTTATTCAAACAATACATCTCTGATTAGAGCAATTTGCTTATTTGTATCATGTTTGAAATTGATCTATTGGCTCTGCATCAAGCAATAACCACTTTATACTACCTCACAATTTAGAGGTACATCAGAAGAAGAAAATTAGTTCAACCAATTGCCTATTTCATTAGCTACAAAAGCTTTTACTGCATTTCTAAACGGCCATAAGTTTTTGAGTTTCTTTTAAAGTAAGATATAGTATGGTGTAACAAACCCTAATGAGTTACTATTAAAGTTCAAATCAATTCATTTTCCCTATCTGAATCTCTAATAAAGTACTATTTATTTTTTCCATCTTCTATGGAAAATGGATTACTTTTTTCCCTGGCTAACACGATATTGCTCCCATTTTCCACTAGCAGTGGAAAAACTAGAGGTTCCACTATTACTTACTTTATTCAGACTTCTCCCTATTCTTTCTATTCGCAGTGAATCATTTTCCTCCATCTCTATCACATGTAATTACCCCATTTTAAAAGTTCAAGATCTCTCATTTATAAAAGGAAACCTCCAAGCTAGAGGGGAACCTTGAACAAATTAGATCAAATTCTAACACTTTCCTGTCCTCAATTTAATGGAAGCTAAAAAAAAAAAAAAAAAAAAATCCCCCAAACAAGAGCCATCTGAAAAGGCAAAGCCATTCTAAAAAGGCAAAGTAAACCACCTACAAAAGCTTAACACACTCAAGCAAAAATAAGGAAAAGAGAAAAATGTAATTTTGAGACAGAAGGTCCTGAATCTTTTGTCAAAGGAAACTGCCTTGCCATTTTTTTTTAAAATGCTTTTCTTCTTTCTGGATGGGACAAAATTGAAGGGCAAAATTATGCATGCCTCAGAATGTTTTTAAAGTTTTCAGTATGGATTGTTTAGTTTGGAGAGGTCATTTTCACAGGTATGAACTCGCCCTTATCAACTACTTCCTGCAATTTGTTACAGCAGTAAAAAGTGAAAGAAGAGAAACAGATTAAGGATAGAAAATGCAGACTTTGGATTGCGGTGTATATAATGAGAAGTAAGGAAAAATGAAATGAATATATTCACATTTTCATCTGTCATTCCTTAAGGCTCACTTTATGCTTACCTTCCCTTTCTGCGATCACGTAAGGATGTCCAGAAATCTAGTTAATCGCAATTATACACAGATCTATTCTAACAGGAGCTTTTAGTCCTTCAGAGCTGCTTGCAATATTATCAAAACAAACCAAAGCTGTCCAACACAACTGCAACACAAACCCTGCTGCTCCAGGACTAGCCTGAGCAGGGCAGATACCTAACCCCGTTTTCTTACCATCAGGCAATCACTGTCTCCACTGAGTATCTCCACAGAGACTTCATCACCCACCCAAAGGTGCACTGCCTTCCTCACTCCTCAGACGCAGACAACAGTGCCTTAAGGCTTCTTTCATTCTTTCCTTTGTAGGAGCTGTCTGGAAAAATTTCTATCTGCCAGTTTCTATGTTACATTGCTTACGGGTCGTGCAGAGTAACTTTTAAGTCATAAGTATTCCAGAGAGAGGAAAATTATTCATGACTGCAAAAGAACTTTTAGGGAAGAAACGCTGCCTTTGCTCTGCCTTACACTCTGAAGTCCAAAAGTCTGTAAAGTACAGAATTCAAACAGCTGACATTGTACAGAAGGGCAAATTTGTATTTCTAAGAGCAAGAGGAACCAAATTCCTTCTTCTTTCTTGGGGATAATGAGAGGATGGAAATCAAGTAGTTTCCATCCTCAGACGTGGCTGGGAGGCGGATGACACTACCCTGTTCTGCCAGCAGGCCTAATCCTTTCCTTGCCTTTTGAGGAGCTGAATTAATGGTCTCCAAGGTCCCTTCAGGAAGTTCTCCAGTACCTAGACAGGTTATTTCTCTGTTACGTGTGTATCTCAAATCCAGCTGAACAGATTTAATTCTCACTTAAGGAAGCAGTGCAAATGAAATCAGACTGCCTATCCCAGTGCTACAATTCAAAATCTCAGAATGGGTGCAGATAAGCAATATATTATAGTACACTTCAGAAAGATAATCATAGTATTTTACAATCATTTCACTGCAAAATGAAGGTATAGTGATAAAGAAATAACATACTCAAAATAATCTGCAAACATATGCATGTTTTGGAATGTTTTCAGTTATTGACAAAATATAGCAATGTCAGGTTGAAAAAACAGCAATCCATTTAACACTGCTTATCAGAATGAATAGCATAAGACAGAAGATGGAGATATCTCAAGCAATTCAAATTAGAGAGAGATATTAAGCTGAATGGAACAACTCACTGTAATTCAGACAGAACACTGAAATTAGGGTATCTATACAACGCATACAGCAAAGTTTTCTGTTTGTAAATCAAGACCCAGAGTTTCCAGAAACCTGCATGCCAGCAGTTCTCACACCTTATTACACTAACTAGCGGAATGCAGGATTCAGTGTTGGCTCTCTAGTATCTCTGAGCATTTGCAGAGCATTAGAATCACAATAGAAACAGTGGTCCTTCACAGTTTCTCAGGTGCTGGGTTTTTCTTCAGGGCCCTCTCTGGAGATGCGCTGGACACAACACCCTAGTGGATGATCCAGCTGAGCTGTTGAGAACTGAGGAAAGCAAAGATTGGCTTTGATATGGTGAAATACTTACTGATGGAAATTTTACAAAATTCAGTCAGTTAAGGCAGGCAAGGGAACTCTGCTTTTATTTTAGATAGTAGGACTGGAAGTCTTGCAGAAAGCTTGCGTGTTACCCTCAGTCCCCATCTCAATGTCAGTTTCCTTTTCACCTTTTCAATGCCAGTTTCTTCATCAGTATTTTTACTAGCTTTATTCTCTACAGAGAATCCAGCATTATGCACTATATTTGGAAAACAATGCATCCCAAGGAACAAAGAAAAGCAATAGGGTTAGTACATCCGTCTATGAGAGCACTCTTTCAACAGTTCTTAGTTTCCTCTGCTATTTCTGCAATTAGACCATAGCTGCACCAAGATACAAAGAAGAACAAAATATCCTTTTGTGGCTTCAAAGAAAATCCTAGCACTTGTTTTAAAGCCCCCTCTTCCTTTACTTGTGTTGACAGAAATTCTGAAATTTAGGCTTACGTTTCAGAATTGATTTGCTCTGCTCTAACAGAAGGATCAAAGAAAGGGCCATCAGCCGTACTTTTTAACTTATGCAGTGGTTACAACCTCACATTTCACACATGTGGTTACTCCAATTATCTTCCAGAAAAAAATACCATAAGCCCTTTTTTTTTTTTTTTTTTAAAGGAACTCAAAGAGCATAAAATAACAGAAAGTCTTAAAAAAAAACGTGTTGTTTTGGTCTTCATTCCAGAAAATAAGGAAAATCGCTTTTAAGGAACAGCACTGTCTGTGTGCTACTCCACAAATAAACCCCACAGGAAAAAGAAATGGGCATGGGAAAGATCCCTCACTCAGCATCCGGCTGGCAAGCACTTTTTACCTGTAAGCCAATATAAACTGTGTTCTATATATTAAAGCACAGAAAACTCAAGCAGTTAAATAAAGTTCCCTTCGTGACAGAGAAAATAACCTGAGTGAAGTTAGCCTCAGCATGCCACTGAAATTTAGATCAGAAATATGAATAAGTTATTTCATTCAAAATCTTGGCTTTAATTTAAAGTGACATCTTAAGAGCACTGTTTTCAAGCACTGCAGGGAACAACTGCCATGAAACTGTCACAAATGGATAGCCTGAAAAAGTAAATGGATGTCACAAAGAAACCTCCGCCCACTCTGCATGTTTTCTAATTGAATACTTAGGTGTATCTGTGACATTGCTGTGCGTGCTCCATGTACCATTTGTTGCAGCAAACCACAAATCTTATTGTGACTTTCAGGTAAGCCTTAAGAAAGCAGTTTGTCCCATTTCTATGAGATAACAATGTATTTTCCACGTTTTTGTGGATACTTCGCAATGACCACCCGAAATCACTCTGTGTTTGTGTACCCCACAAACCTTCCTCTTGGCAATGTATGACTTGTACCTCTACAAGGCTAGGGATATCTCCCTGCTACTGCGACTAGAAATGTGATAAACCTAACATTCCCCTTTGCTAGAGAAGCAGAACAGCTTCTGTAGTACAGCACAATGTGGCTACAAAACATTCTGTGCACCCAAACTACTTTCTTCCTCTCTTCCTGAACCACGATCCCAATTCAGTCTTCCACACGTCCAACACAGAAAGCCTCTTATACCCCTATAAAAACTACCTGTATAAGAGCAGCACCCTGACTTTCTTCCCAAGGTCATTAAGTATATGGCTAAAAGATGAAAACACGTTGTACTTCCATGCACTTTCCAAAATGCCCTTATTTTGCTCCTGTAACCCAAGCAGATTAAGAAACGAACTGCTATTTCCAGCAAGCACTGTGCAGTGAAGATAGCTGGTCCAAAACAAGTCAGTAGAGCTACTCATTGAATTACCTAATACTCATCATCATCTGCATATAACCCTAGAAAGAAGCTTCTTT